GGTGATGTGACCAGGGACGGGGTTGGGAAAGGCCAGAAGGACCCAGGGCTGGCTGGCGCCAGCTGGGCCCTAACCCCACCCTGTCCCCACAGCGGGCACAGCAGGCTGCGGTGCGGGCTGCCCGGCTCCGGCACCAGGAGCTGTTCAGGCTACGCGGGATCAAGGCCCAGGTGGCCCGGCGGCTGGCGGAGCTGGCGCTGCGGCGGAGGTGGCGGCAGGCACGGCGGCTGGCCGAGGCCGACAAGCCCCGCAGGCTGGGGCGGCTCAAGTGAGGCCCGGGCCGGGGGTTGCAGGGGAGGTTGGGGAGGGGTCCAGACCCCACGTCCTGACACCTTTCTGCCTTGCTCAGGCAGCCCTGTCCTGAGAGCCCCCCCAAAGCCCTGTGTTCTCGGGCCCACCCTTCCGCAGAAGGGGGCTTTGGACTTGGTGTCCCTGAGCCCTGCCAGGGACTGAGTTCCCTGAGCACCTGCCTCTTGCTGTGCAGGTATCAGGCCCCCGACATCGACGTGCAGCTCAGCTCGGAGCTGTCGGACTCGCTCAGGACCCTGAAGGTACTTGCTTGTCGGGCCAGTGTGGGCTGTGGGGGCCTGTGCCCAGTGATGACACCCATCCTTGCTCCCCGTGCCCCCCAGGGGCTGTGGGCGACACCATGGCTGCCCCCGGGCCCGGCTGGTTGGGGCCAGTGCCCGGGGGCTGAGGGCACAGGGTCCTGGGGTGAGGGGCCGGGTGGTGGGTGGGCCTGTGGCCCTCAGAAGGCCTTTCCTCCCTGCTGAGTCCCTGTTGCAGTCCCGTTTCCCGGCCCCCGTCTCACCCTCTTCAGGACTAAGGGGACCTTCCTGAAGCTTCTGTCCCTCCCCAGCTCAGAACCTGCTGTGGCTCCCCAGGGCCCAGAGGAAGCCCAGCTCCTCCCCACAGCCACAAGCCCTGCGTGGCCTGGCATGGCCTGGCCTTGGGGCTTCAGCCAGCTGTGTGTCAGCAGGCCACGCGCCTTCTCCGAGGGACCCGGCCTTTGTGCTGTTGTCCCTCTGCCGGGCCTTCTCTCTCCACTGCCTCAGCAGCCTCCGTCTTGTGGATTCCTCCATGCCCAGCTGAGAGGCAGCCGTGGGTCGGTGGCCGTCGCCCCCCAAGACCGAGCGCTGTGATCTCAGGGCCAGGCTGAGCGCCTGCTGCTCCTGGGGCAGCGCTGGGGAGACTGAAGGGCCTGAGCCCCGCCGGGACCCCCCACCTCGGAGTCCGAGGACCCTGGGCTTCTGCCAGGCCCCGCTGAGGCCTCCCTCCCTCTCTGTCCCGCAGCCTGAGGGCAACATCCTCCGAGACCGGTTCAAGAGCTTCCAGAGGAGGAACATGATCGAGCCTCGGGAGAGAGCCAAGTGAGGGCGCTGGGGCTGTGGGGGGGTGAGGGCGTCTGGAGCCCACCCCTGAGCTTGGCGAGGTCTCGGGTCACCGATTGCTCCTTTGTCCCTTCTCCAGGTTCAAGCGCAAGTACAAAGTGAAGCTCGTGGAGAAGCGGGCGTTCCGTGAGATCCAGTGAGTGGAGCCTCTTTCCCCGCAGGGCAGGCTGGTCTGGCTCCGACCTGCTCAGACTGAAAGAAAGGGCCCCTTCTCCCTCCCTGCGGCATCCGCCAGGGCCCTGCGCCTTTCCCAAACGCAGCAGCCGTGGCCGGCGGTTGAGCAGTGCCCCTCGGCCAGGCCCGGGTGAGGGTCAGCCCATCCAGAGGCCCTGAACCCAGAGTGGGCCAGGAGTGTCCCCAAAGGGAAACTGAAGGGCAGAAGGGAGGTGTCAAGTGGGCAAGAACTTGGGGCACTCTCTCCCCTGAGCCCCTCTCAGCCGCTCTCTTCTGTCCCCAGGTTATAGCTGCGCGGCTGCCGGAGCCCCTCCCTTCAATAAAGCACCTTCTGGCCAACACCTCGGGCTGTGGGTGTGACTTGTCTCACTGCCCCAGGCAGCTTCTGTCTCCATAAGGTCTTTGTCCATCCCCCTTGGTGCACAGGGATGTAGGTGCCAGAACATTCCTTTCCTCCAGGGCCGGGTGAGACCCCAGGGCGCGTGGAAGGGCTGTCGGCCAACTGAGTCATGGCCCATCCGACAGCGAGGCCATTACAGGGGTGGGCAGGTCCTAAAAGGTGGGCAGGGCTCGCAACCTGCCTGGAAGTTGGGGGTGAGGGGGCAGCGAAGCTGAGACCTGCCCTGGATTTCTGACTCGGAGACTGGCCTGCTTGCTCCTGCCATAGGTGACAGAGCAGCTGACGTTTGCCAAGCACCTATTGTATTCTTAAGCAGATGTATCAACTGCTTGAACCCTCACAACCCGGTTAAGGAGGACTGTAATTATTCCCATTTTAAAGCTAAGGGAGGGCCGGGCGTGGTGGCGCCTTAATTCCAGCACTTGGGGAGTCTGAGGTGGGAGGATCGCTTGAGGCCAAGAGTTGGAGGTTGCAGTGAGCTGTGATTGCACCACTGCGTCTAGTCCGGGTGACACAGTGAGACCCTGTCTGTAAAACACATAAAAGATAAAAAAAGTAAGGAAACGTAAAATGAAGTTTATTTTCCTCCCTTTCCCCACGTCTATTTTTAAAAGATTTTTTTAACCTTTGTGAGAAATGAAGGACCACATTCTCACTGTAAATCGTTCATTGCCAAACAAACGTATGACTGTCACCCTTGACCTTCGCCTCCCATTCACGTCCACGCCCATCTTCTCTGAGCAGGGACCTGTCCCTGCAGTTTGGGGTGAATCATGTTTGATGTGTAATCCTACTAAATTGCACGTACTTGTGAAAATAGAATTGTTTCCATTTTTCTGTTTCTTAGGACCGAACCACACGTGGTTCTAGAGCTTGCTTTTTAGTGCCTCTTGGAGATCATTCCATGTCTGGACACAACTGAGTAGGGTACTGTCCCGTCTGTGTGCAGTGGCGCCCAGCCAGGCCTGTGCTGCTGCTCCTGAGTTGGAACGAATGTCCTTGTCCACATGCCTTTGCAAACGTGTCTGTAGGATGAGTACTGGAAGTGCATCTCTGGGCCAAAGGGTGCGCGTATTTGTAGCGCGTCATTTGATGGATTCAACCAAATTGCTCTCTATAAAGCCTGTGTTACCGTAGAGACAGGGTCTCACTTTGTCGCCCAGTCCGGAGTGCAGTGGCTTGATGATAGCTCACGGACAGTAACCTTGAACTCTTGGGCTCAGGTGATCCTCCTGCCACAGCTTCCAGAGCAGCTGGGACTACAGGCACGTGTCACCACACCCCCTGCTATTTTAAAAATTTGTTTGTAGATATGAGGTCTTGCTACATTGCCCAGGCTGGTCTGAAACTTGGCCTTAACTGATCCTCCTGCCTCAGCCTTCCATAGTGCTGGGATCAGAGGTACGAGCCATCGTACCTGGCTGCTGTGCTGATTTTTATTCTTCAATAACACGGGAGCCCACTTGATTTCTCATAGCTTTGCTACTATGTGATCTCTTTTTTTTTTGAGACAGAATTTTGCTCTATTGCTGGGGCTAGAGTGCTGTGGTGTCAGCCTCGCTCACAGCAACCTCAAACTCCTGGGTTCAGGCAATCCTATTGCCTCGGCCTCCCTAGTAGTTGGGACTACAGGTGCACACCACCACACCTGGCTAATTTTTCTCTTTTTAGTAGAGATGGGGTCTCGCTCTTGCTCAGGCTGATCTCGAACTCCTGACCTCAAGTGATCCTCTTACCTTGGCCTCCCAGCGTGCTAGGATTACAGGTGTGAGCCACCGAGCCCGGCCTCACTATTTTTATTTCATTGTGCCTGGTTACCAGTGAGGTTGAGCATCTCCTTATGTGATTACTGGCCATTATATTCCTCTTCTGCACTGGTTCAAAACCTTTTGACCATTTTCCTCCTGGGCTTTTTGTCCTTTTTTTGTTGTTGCTTATTTGTAGTAGCTCTTTATTTATTATGGATCCGAAGTCTGTGATACATGTTATAAGCCATTTCTCCCAGGTGGTTTTTGTCTTTTGACTTTGTAGGTGGTGTGTTTTGCCAGGCAGAGGTGTTCAGTGACTTTAGTTTTCTGTTAGTCTTTCTTCATTTTTTATTATGGCCTCTGGGAAGGTTTCTCCAGGACAAGATGTTTATAAAAATAGAACAAGTAATTTATAACAGAAATGGGTGAAGGGAGAGACATCAGTGCTTCCCCCACCGTATTCCATAGAACATCATGATTTTAAAGGAGCTATTTCTGCTCTTCCCCCCTCCCATCTAAATAAAAATAAAAGGAAATATTTTACAGATTAGAAAACAGCTCTTTATATGTGTGGGGGAGGCAGGGATGACGGGCGGTAGGCAGAGGTGAAAGCCATGTGCCAGGGAGCCTTAGCCCCGGCCTCTGGCCCAGTGAATCCACGCATGTTACTGAAGGAACCTGCTGGAAATCGGGAGGAAACTTCATGGCCAGAGATGGCTGTCATGGCATCTGCAGATAACGCCAATACCCGGGGGTGAGGGTCGTCACAGCTGCTCAAGGACAAATTTGCAGCGTGGACGTTCACGGTGTCCTCAGGAAGTTCTTGGTACTTAAGCGCCTGGGAAATGCGTCCGTTCCCACGTGTGCAGAAACGGAGTCAGCAGCAGAGGCACGTGTGTGTGTCTTAGTGCACTTACGTTACGTTTCACATCTGAATCTTGCATCAAAAAAAAAAAAGTCCGGAACCATGGTTAACGATTTGCAAGCTGGAGCACACCGATTGCTGCAATTTCCTTTGCAGTGCGGAAAACAATAAGGCGGGCTCATGGCCAGATGGGGGGTGGACAAGGTCCAATAAAACGAGCGCAGTGAAATGTTCAGGGTGGAGTCTAAGTGGGGGGTTTAGGAGTGTTCACGGGAAAATTCTCAACTTTGTTGTTTGAGGATTTTCCTAATGGAGCAGGCACGTTGGGATTCACTGTGATGCTGATGCGGGTTAACGCCTAACAGGGGTTTCAGGGCCACGTGTTGGCACAGGTCCCTTCCAAGGCCCTGCACCTGCTTTTGAATCTGTAGCATATTTTTCCGAAGGAGGGTCCCCCAAAGTGTAAAGGCTTCAGGCATCACAAAACCTGGATCTGCCTCTGCGAGGAAAAAATCGGAAGGACTGTCTGCCAGGCGGGTGACGGCTGAATAAGGGGGCATGTCTGTGCGGCCGAGTGAGCAGACTTGGCTGTTGGAAAGGATGGCGACCGTCTGCAGGCAGCAGCACAGCCCGAGTCTGAGTCCCAGCTCTGTTACGTGCTGGCTGTGTGACCTAGTGCAGGTTACTCAACCTCTGCCTCCGCGTCCCCGTCTGCAAAATGGGCGTATGTGTGATAGTGCCCATCTCACGTGGGCTCTTGGAAGGATGAACCGAGCTCGCATATGAAAGCAGTCAGAACAGGGTCTGGCACACGGTTAGCCCCAGGTGAGTTTTAGCTAAACATCGGTGGAATAAAAAGATGTGGAAACTTGTAACCGGTGCCAGAGCCTCCCCACAAATGCTCTGACCTTTTGACCCAGTTCCCTCTCGGGAACGTGCCCTACAGAAACGGCCGGAAGTTCGGGAAAAAGCGTCATGGCAAAGGCAGGGCTGTTGTGTAGAATGGAAGGAAACGTGGTAATGACCACGGGGCAGGTTCCGTCCACTCGGGGGAGGCCTCTGCGGCCGTTGACCCAGGGGTTGGGAGCACGTGTGGTGACCGGGACATGCTTGTGAGCTGGCGCTTTGCGGAAAACAGCAAAGGATCTGCTGCCACCCACGGGGTGCTCATGCGACAAACCCGGTGCCAAATGTCTCCCGGGTAGGGGAATTTCAGAGGAGTCTTTTTTCTTCATTTTTCCAGCGTTTCCAAATTTTCTATAATGGAGCAAGCCTTTAAAAAAAAATAGAAATCCATCTTAGCAAGGTGGGTTACTCAGCAAATTAAAAGAAGAAAAAACCTAAAATACACAAATCAAAAATACCGACAAGGATTTCCTGAAAAAGGCCTATCTGTGAAGACGTCTGCTGTTGTGTTATTTGGAACACTAAAAACAAAAGCTAATAGAAAAACCAGAAACAGTTTACATGCAGAACAGTAGCAAACAGGTTTTTACCAGGGCTATGTCTACACAATGGGCTATTTCACTGCCATTAAAAAGAAAAAAAACAGCTTTGGGGAGACTTTTAATGATCTGAGGAAATACTTACATCTCATAGAAATGTCAAATGGAGAAAAGGACTCCATATGACCCTGATTTAAAAATGTATATAAATAAATAGGAAATAATTTGGGGAGGCTGCACGGGGCCACCGTCGGATGGCGGGTTGTGGGGGTTTATTTCCCCCCTCACATCCGCTTCTCTGCACCTCCCCATTCGCTACCGCGCTCTCCACTGCGGTGACACCGGGTGGGCTCGGCTGACCTCCACCCTCCTCCCCGCAGCAGAGGCTGAAGCAACAGCTGTATTTCCCAGACTCCCCCAGCAGCTGGGATTCTGGATGCAGAATTAGGTCCCAACAATGAGACGCCCTCCTGTGAGGCGTGGATGGCAGGCGTGACCCCCGTAATCACAGCCAGGCCCAGCGTTCTGGAGCCCAGCGGTTCCAGCAGCCGCCTCAGGCAGCAGCGTCCCTGGTGGGTCGGTTCTGTGCTGTCCTGGGTGTCATTCCTGACGGCCTGGCCTAGAGCCGCTCTTCCAGCCTCCCGAGATTGTGTAAGCACCTGATTGCCTGTATTCAACCCCTTGCTGTTTAACACACCTGGAGTGGTTTCTGTTCAGGCTCCGATCCCAGCCAGAGACAATCATGCTTTGCTTTTCCACTCGGAAAATCATTTTTTAACATTCTAAGAGCTTTCCAAGGTCTGCATAAAATAAAACTAAGCCACTGTGAAAAGCTGACACTTGCTATGTTCATTTGTTAGCGAAAG